CATAGAACCTCAATTGGCCAAGGAAACGATATCCCTCCCGATCAATGAAGACAAAAACCTTTCAGAAGGCACAAAACTCAAATGTTCAAGTCTGATGGAACTCATAGACCTCTGTCTGGCAACATACTTCCAACTCAATGGCGATAGATACAAACAGATGAAAAGAACTCCAATGGGATCACCGATATCCGTATTAATTACAGAAACAATGATGCAGAGACTGGAAGCCATTATCCTACCTGTGATCAAACCAAACATTTGGATTCGCCATGTTGACGACACTTTTGTCATCATTAAAAAAGATGATATAGAAAACACCCACAGTTTGATCAACAGCGTTTTCAATGACATCAAATTCATAATGGAGAAAGAGTCAAACGACCAACTCCCATTCCTGGATATTTTGGTCAGCAGGACAAATGCCGGAAAGCTGGAAACCCAAGTGTACAGGAAGCCAACACACACTGACCAAATCCTCAACTACAATAGCAACAACCCAACACCATACAAAATCAGTTGCGTGCAGACTGTATTCAAAAGAGCGAGAAAACGCTGCAGCACAACAACTTCAAGGAGAAACGAAGAAAATTACTTAATGTCCATCCTAACGAAGGACGGCTACCAACGAAACTTTATCAGAAGATGCCTATTCCTTACATCATCAACTACAAAGTCATCGACAGAAATCAAAAAGGGCATCGTCCTACCACACATAAAGAATATATCAGAAATCAACACAAGATTACTGAAACCACTTGGAATTGGTGTGGCTCATAAACCAACAAATTCCCTGCAAACACTGTTTTGCAGACCAAAGGATGCGACAAGCAAAGAAGACAAGCCGAATATCATTTACAAAATCAGCTGCAATAACTGTAGTCAACAGTACATTGGACAAAGCGGCCGCCCTCTTCGCCTTCTTCTACATGAGCACCAATTAGCTATTAAACGCCACGACATTTCATCACTCATTTCAATGCACGTGGACAATTATGGACGTGAATTCAATTTCGACAATGTAGACAGAGAATTCCTAGAAGCTTGGCATACAGGTCAGTCAGCAATCAATAGATGTATAGACATAGACCCGATCTATCAACCAATAAAAAAAATGATAAACGACAGAAAGGTCAGAGGTCAAGCAGAGGAACAGCCAACAGGAAAGTCTATATAATCAATGACACAACAATGAAAGGAAACAACCAATCACAGACCACATAGTAAGGGCAAGCCAGTAAATTACTCATGGAGAGATACTGACAGCTCACTTCATACTGAAGTTAGTGCTGATGATGTCGTCCAGCAGGACGATGAAAGCTTCACGATTAAACAACCCAGCTCAGAGAACACAATACAACCAAGACAATCTAAGTGCATTTGTTTCACTATTCTGAAACAGGGTGAAATGTATACTTTGATTGTAACTTGAAATAGTACAAATTCCTCACCACCAAGTAACTGATAGCAAGATCTAACGTAAAACATGAGGATTCCGTTCACTAATATTCCTAGGTCGATAAAACTTAGGACAGTGTTTGATGATGAAAATAAATTGTCGGCTTGTTCTAGTTATCCTGTCGAACCACAGTTAGTGTACGCTACTCCGAATAACCAAAATTAGTAACAGACATGCATCGTTGAACAAATGAAACGTGGTGGCACTTTTCAAATCAAGACATGAATAGATTCGAACATCTGACACCACTTAACTTACAAAAGATCCAAATGGATTGAACTATAAACGTAGACTAGTTAGATGCCTGACTCATAAAGAATAGACCTGAGTTGATCAGTCAAACTAAGCAGTGAGTGTCCTTCCTCTTCAATAAGTCTATGTTAAAAAAACTACTGAAAGATACTTATTTCTGGTTGCACTCCTGTGACCAATCAACACATGTTTATTATTCATTTAACTGATCATTAGCTGAGTTGATGTATTCCCCGAGCAAATAAAAAAGAGATTACGTAGGTTTGTTGCTAGACACGTCATTTGTAACAATAACAGTGTTTCATCTGGTGACAGAATTTACAGGGAATCAACCAACTTTACATATTTTTCTAATATAACGATTACTGAGATGATAACTAATGCCTGCTAGGTTGACATTTTTGAAAACAATGTTCATCATGAGTTCATGTCGATAAGGGAGTCAGTGAAGATTTGGAAGCACTGTCTTTTCCTAGTCTTAAACTTCTCATTATGTATTGAGTTAAAGACTGTCAGATCTTTTCGTGAACACTTGACTACTAAGTCACTTAGTTTGAATCCTCTGTCATTTCGTGATATTACGTGACCATCATACAATATCATAGGTAGGTATCAATCCTCACTATCAATTTGGTTGACTTCAGAGGTCATGGTTATGCTTGAAAACTTCCAGAAGTTCATACTGATACAAATCACTGACAAGCACCCGAATACAATTCAGTGGGGTGTTTTTGTCTGAAATGAGTGATTCAGAAGTGCTTTTTAATGATAACTTACCTTTTTTTGATTGGGTATTTTTTCTGTTCAAGTAAATATTTTGCAAGATTATAGCCTGCTTGGTGGCTAACAGTGGAATCCAAGACGCGCATTTCTTCCTGTTTAAGTGGCTTCAGGTGGAAGCATCTGCAACTGACAAAAGTGATGGTGTTCCACCTGAGATTGGAACCTATAACTTCCAGTGCCATAGTGTTATTCACTAGACTAACAAGGCACGATAGACATCTCTTTAGCAACAGTTACCAGTTGTGATTTATTTAAACTTGTAATTTCTCATTGCTTTACGTGATCAAAGTGCTGGACCTCTGTCCTACAAACTTTTATGTGTGTTAAACTCAGTATTGGTTTAACTTTGAACTTGTTCGACTAAAGCTTCCCTACATCTGAGTAAGCGAAATGGTAAGCTCTATAATCATATATTCAGCCATAATATCTGCTTTCCTGAATTTGAATTCTTTCATGTTTACTGAGGAGTGTTTTGGGTGACTGACTAACAAAACTAAAGTTGGAACTTGCACGTAGGCGCATTCGCTCAAATTGCCATACTTCACATTAGTATACAAAGAAAAATGGACAAAAAGAAGTGATATCAAAGTAGGCAAACTAGTGTTGGAGAATAGATATTTTGACGATAAAAGTTAGCTTTGGTACTCAACCTTTAGCTGTCAAGCAGTGAATATATGTGCTCCATCGTGACTGATTTTCAGACATGTCAACCATAATTTTAAACTAGTGATTCCAGTAGTTTCAGGGATCTCAACCTAGCAGTCTTCATCGCTCCACATGAATCAAACCGCAGTAAGAGATTTCATCGACTGATGCCACACGTTAATCTGGTTACCCTGAACTCTCTTCCAAACGAATCAAACTACCTGCAGTATGGCACCTAGAGGTAGGCAGTGGATCGGCATGCGCAGCAGATGTTTAAGCCACCTCAGTCGACTATGATTTACAACTTGATCAATCGACTTTCCTGTTTTGCCTAGTAACCTCCACCTTACTTCAACATTGCTCGAACGATTAGCGGCGAAGACACATGTAATGAGAACCCTGCAATCGCTTCACATCATCTACTTTCAACGGCATCATCGTTTGATAGATATTCCAATATCTCACTAGTCAGAGTCTCAGATGACGCAAAGTTGGCAAATGTCAAACATGCCTCCTACATCCGAGCTGAGATTTCGTCAGCAACCAAAATGTTCAGTTTACAAACATCCATATTTTCTTTATTGTATGAATGTATTTTAGTGATGAAGTATAGGAAATCTGTGGTCAAAGTCATCTATATACAGCATAATCAACATCAAATTTTCTAATTTGACCTTTCATATTCAGTGACCCATTTTCATATGACTAATAATTTTTGTCATGAATATATACACAACTTGATTCATCATTAAGGCAATTTTGTTTTCCCATCTCAACTTTTCTACATATGATAAACTTTCTATGCGCATAATGAATCTAGAAAATATCAAAAAGATCTTCTTTTTACAACTGTTCAGAGCTAATATCTTTGTGTTAATATCATCATTACAGAGGTCATAAGTTCATTTTTGGAAGGGAAAATATAAACTATACAAAACCTTAGTAATTCACATCATGGCTAACAACTGTAGTGATTTCATCTGAAAATGTGAAAATGTTGTAGACATATTAGTTACTGTCCCAATTTTCGTGTGTTCATTCATGGTTCTGCCTTAACTCATTCTTCCCTCTCTCTTTCTGTCTCTTTCATCATTTTATTCATTAAGTTACTTTCTTTTCTTTCTGTTAGTTTGAAAATGTGTAAAGGGATAATTAATTGCAAAACCTTGAATTTGAATTCCTCAAAAGAATGTCATCTCTTTTGTGAAACATATGTGTTCTGTCAAAGCACGTGATTTTGACCCTATTTTATACTTAACAGGATGTTTGTATCTTGGGGATAAAATGTGTGACCTTTCATTGACCTTTTCATCTATATCTGTCAGTGATGTCTCCTGCTTCTTTTTGTAGGGATGTGTTCAGAATTCATTAACATATTTAACTAGTCTTTTTATCCATAATACACTCAACAGCATCTTAATTGAATCGAAACACCAGCGAAATGGGAAACAAATCCATACCCGGGTTAATTTCCCTGTTAACATAACATTCAGTTTAAGATAAATCTGCTGAGAATGAAAAGTAATATCTTCCATTAGATTTTAACACCAAATACACAAAACCCCAGATATAAATGGGACATATTTAGGAATAGACAAATCTTATAAGCTGCGTTTACTGGAAATACGTCAATGAAGCGTACAGACTGTGGAATAGATACACTGGTCATTATGGTCTGTTTTACAAAACTTTGGCTTCTACAAATAGAAACACTATACTTTTCAAAGTTTCTCAATAAATATTCTCTAGAACTATGGATGAGAGATGAATGAATAAGCTATCAACTTGAGAGAGTACGGTACAAGTGAAAAGCATAGTTAACACAACAGTATGAAATTAATGGCATACGTTAATGTGGACTAACCTCTGTGTCGACTTGTGGCCTTGTCCATCATTAATTCACACGTTTCCACCTGAAATTTAGTAAACATAGGAGTTGCTCTTTGATACAGCTTAGCTGAAATACATGCAAAGAATGTTTAGATAATTCTGTGGTCTAATAAAATTGCACTTCAAGTAGGAAACGTTATAGGGATATAGTTAAAAGTCATAGATGGACGAGGAATATTCTTTTTATTAACTCCTCATCAATGTCTACAGTTATTGAATGATATTTGCCAATTCATAGTATGGGACTTCTCAGAAGTGTGCACCCATGAGCCTGCTCCACCAGGAATCGAACCCAGTACCTAGTTGTTTTGCAGTAAGTTTCTAGGTTGGAATCCGATTTCCGAGTTTCCTTAATTGTTTCAGTACGCAATATAGCACGACCTCCATCCAATGCTATCCCTGAACATTTGTTCTCATATCGAACCTGGTTTGGCCCACCAGTCGACATTTCTCACTAAACCCTGGAAAATCTCACCTCAAACCATGTTACGCCACTAGAGTCATTGATGAGCTCTACTAAGTTGTCCTACTCTAGGGTTAGATAGCTGTCCAGTGCTCCCAGGTTTCCAGTGCTTCTCCAAGTGATGTCAGTCCATGATGACTATCAAATGGAAATCAATAAATCCCTACAAATGTCCAAACTGAACCAACTTTATAGGAACTAAGATCAAGGTTTTATTGAATAGTATGGGAAATGTCCGGCACCGAGTAAAAGGTTGACATTAGATATAGTTTGTATTTTTGTAAGTCGCAGCAAGTTTAAAATGAAAGGATTACAGCTAAATTTGCAGCGAATGCATTTTAAAACTTTATGAAATTACAATTAGGTTGAATTAATTTTGTGATAACAACTTGACCGATATACGTAATGATGATTGAAAATGGAATGAAAACCTTGACCTCAGCAGGATTTAAACCAAAAGCCTATGGGTTACCTACCCAATGCTTGACTAACTGAGCTACGTGACCATCTTCACTTCAGCCAGTTGTGATGGTAAGCTGAATGTAAGCTGTAGGTATCAAATGCTCGAGGGTCGACTATAGTAACTAAAAATGTATGCAACATGAGGAGGGAAAATCAGTAGTGAACGTGAAGGTTGGCTTGTATGTGTGAGTGATTGGTAAAGGGGATGACATAAATTTAATAGAAAAGCAGAAATGGAAGCATATTTCGTCATAAAATGGTCAGAATGCTAATTAGTTGAGACAGTATGGTGAAAAGAGAATGGTGAATAAACTGGGCAAAAACTCTACCATTATTTTAGAGGTTTATTAGAATAGTTTCGGAAAATTAGAGGAAAGTTCAGTTGAAATAAGTTTGAGAGGAAAAAAGGGAATGTAGATAAAACGAGAAGAAGAGCGAAACGTAAAGATGAAGGAATGTTATTTAGTCAGTGGTAGGCCAGGGTGGAGGTAAGGCTCGAATATGTTCCTCTTGAATGCAAAGTTCAGGCTTAGTTGATCATATGGCAGTAACTTCCGCTATACGGGGAATGCGTAAACGAGTGGTAGATGATGAAATCTTCAGAACGAGTTTTGCCACAGTAGACACTGTACTAGCGTCTATATGGCGTTCAGTGTCTACTAGATGGTCTAGCAGAGAACTTCTATTGCATTCGGCCTTACTCTTAGCAGATCCGTAGATATCCCAGTATGGTGAGACACGCGCCCGTGTGCCTTATGTAACGTGTTCGAAGGCAAAGTTGAATTGACGCTTACATCATGAAGAGCTCAGACTCGGTAAGCTGCCCCTGAATCTCGAAATTAAGTATGAGAAGCCTCTAAAGGGTAAACATAGGAATCTTGAGCAAAATGTTCTGCTTATTACTCTAGACGTCTTCTTTGAATAGCAAACTCAAAAGTAGAGTTTTTTCTAGATTGCACCAGGTTTTTTGGGAACAATAAAAGTGGTTTGTTTATAAGATTGTTACGATATTTGTTTGCCTAGAAGTGTCTTATCTATTTTCTTATGAGTATGTTTCACCAGTTAACCTAAATTGTCATATTGCTGTTGGTTAAAATAGAAGTCAAGGCATGAAATCAGGTTTAAAAACTTTATTTTAAAAAGAATCCGTCTTTCTACACTGACTGGTCACTAAACCGTAACCAATTTCATATGCTGATCGATTGCGGTGTGGCCACCAGGCTAGGAGACTCCTTGTCACCATCAGTTCCATTGAGGTTGCAGATACGCCCTACTGATGAGTGCCAAAAATGCATGAAACCTAAGTCTAGCAGAGCTTCCTGTTGATTGCCATCACCCAACTAACACTAGTCTCAGTGCATTGTGATGGTGAATAAACTAGCCATGTGGCCACATTGCATATTGTTCCATAGGATTCGCCCGGCAATTATGACTGGCCAGCTCACAATTAGTTGCTTTCTTGTGATCAGTCAGTGCGTCTAATTTAACCTATAGGAGGTTTATATCGGTCCGAATAGCTCAGTGTCAGCGCCGCTGACTGCAGTAATGGGTGAGGTGGGTTCAAATCTTTCACAGGACATACATACTCTAGAGATCCCAGTTACACTTTGCCAACCGGCACCAAAAAGTAAGAAAAGTAAGTCATACAGAGATTCCTACCAACTGCCCTCAAACAAATGAAATCTTTCTTTGTTATTGCTATAAGCTAGAGGAACATGATTCAATGGCTTCCAGCAAAAAACTATTCGAAATTGCTTTCAAATTATTGCAGCCACCTTTATGAAACCGTGGCGTTTGTTTGACCCTAGTTATCCCAGTGATTGTAGCTAGCATTCTGATCAACTAGAGACAAGGATGTCTGAATTATTTGTCTATCAGTCATGCTAAATTCATAAAATTTCATGTAGGAATGTATGTGGGCTTCTATGAATAAATGAACATATAAACAGTTTTTTCTAAACTGCCTAATTTTATGTTTAAAACGTTAAGAAGGTTTTTATTTTTGGAAAAAAACGAATAGAATAAAAGGATAAAAATAGTACACAGTTCCTATGCATTTCTTCTTGTTCAATTATCCAAAGTACAGAAAACTGATGACTTGAAACCAGACAGTGATAAGCGTGTTGCTTTCAACTGCTTATAGGATTTGCTTAGTTTTAAATGATATCACCCAAGGTCAAAGCATTTCATTGTATCCAATACGGGAAGTTAAAGAACATTTTCTTCTATTTACATTCAGCAAAAGGTTTGGTCGTCTGACTTAAAAATGCTCTTTAAAGAGTTCATTAGGCTTAAAGTCCACACCAGTTTCAGTAGATGCTTAGTTATTGTGCATCATGAGTATTTCAGTGAAATTATACTGTGAAATCCGGGTACAACAAATTTCGCAGATTATTATAATATTATTTGTCGCTTGGGTTCCTAGTGGAGCAAAGGACTTCAGTAGCACATCTTCATTGCACTCTCTTCTCTGCAGTCTTTTGGACCTGGTTCCACGACTGCCCACAAGCTTTCATTTCTTCCTCACACGATCTCCTCCATGTCACCCTCACTTCAGACGCCAAACTCACCGTTTCCCATTTGGATTCCGCTCGAGGGTCTGACCTAGCACGTGATGTCCCTGAATGGTTTTCTTGGAGTATGCCCAATCCATCTCCACTTTCTTCTGCATAGTTGTTGGGCAGTAGGTTGTTAGTTGGTCTGTTGCCAGCCAGAGTTCCTCGTTGCCTATTCTTTCTGCTCATCTGATCTTCAGTATCAAGCCAGCGTAGGCAGCTGTTGATGAATGTCTGTAGTTTGTTAGAAATGCTTTTCTTGATGCGTCAAGTTTCTGAACCACCACATAGAAGCAATGACTTGACTTTATTATTGAGAATCCGGATGTTGTTCATGCTTTATGCTGATTGCAGTAGATCACCACACTGATTTCAGATTGATGAAAGCCTTTCTTGCTTTTCCGATCCTGGCTTTGACATCCCTATCTGTGCCACCGCTTGTAGTTGAAACGATGCTGCCTAGACGGGAAGGTGAAACAGACAACTTCCTTTAGGTTTCTCCCGTTCATGGTGATTGATGCTTGTTATTGTAGTTGTTGGTTGGGTATCTTCATCATCTCTGTCTTCTCTACGTTCACTTGAAGTCCCATTTTCACTGTCTTTTCTGTCAACTTAAATTTCCTGGATAAAGATTTTATATCGAGTTTATTTTTTGCAGTCATTCATGAATATGTTTCCCTCTTATTTATTGATACTTGCAATTTCCTGGGTTGAATCGCTTGAGTTTTGTTGATAGGTTGGCCCCTATGAGGACTTCTCACTACTGTCAAAATATTCATCATAATGTAGTTAACTTGGGAGCTGCCGGTCAAATCCAGGACTTATGCTTTACCATATTCGACACTCGTCAGTTGTATATACTTGCACTTCAGTGAGTGATGAGGTTCCCATTGAAACTAAAACACCGTGCCTGTTGTTCCAACTACCAAGGTGTTATTCACTGTGCAGAAGTCGAATAATTCAACCCAGTGTAGCAACGGGCAATTACAAGTATCAATAAAGAGTTACTGATACTCATCGAGTTTATGTAGCCTAGTGGATCACATTTTCGCACTTGAAGCGATAGCTACTGGATAGCAGTCTCAAGGAGGACGCCATCACTCCGTGTGTTGCAGGAACATCCACTTGACTAGGCTCAAATAAGGTTAAATGTTTGCTTTGTGTTTACGATTGTAAATTCGCTAATATTGATATGAACGTTGGATTTGAGACAACTGTATGAATTTTCATGATCCGTAAATTTGAAGTCGTTAGAGAAATATTAGGTAATTTAAATATTAAATAATTCTATGAATCTAAGGACGCTGTTTTACGGACGAGCGTTTTTCATTATATGTGATAGCCATTCAGAAACACAAACTTGTGCTCAATTAGGTTCAACGAACGAAATTTCGTACGTGCAGCATTACAAGAAATTATGCCAACCCCAAAATGTTGTCAATACAGCATTACATATACGTTGCTAATGATGCTGTGACTTCATAAAAAATGTTAAATAAAGACTTTTATTAGTGTTTAAGATAATAGCAGTGGACTTTTGGCA